GGTGGAGAGGTTTCAGTCCCATGGCGCCCGCTCTCATTTCTAAGTTTTCCCTCCCTGAGCGGTGACACGGTGGAGGAGCTCTCCATCCTTTCTCCATCCATCTGTTCCACTCCATCTGTTTTTCCTCCTGTCCTCATTTTAATCTCCGTCTTACCTGTCGACTTTATTTCCTCTGGTCGTACTTTGGACACCGTCTTCTTCTTCTCTGACTTTAAACAAAGTCTTATAAATGTGTCACAACATGGCCGCCACTCGACACGAGCCCGTTATGGAATGTGTGCAAGCTGACGGATTGATTGGGTTCAGGTGTGCCGCCCACATGTGGCCAGATGTTTCTGGTTTGAGTTCTTCTTACCCAGAAGTCCCCTCTGAAACTCATCTGGACTTTCCCTCGCTGACTCATCACGGTTTTGTCCAATCAGCATTCCTTGTTTTTTGGTTTCTGTGTTTCCTGTGTGGCGTTCAGGAACTCCTCAGCAGCAGGGAAACAGGATTACCACCACAACATAGTTTAACTATGTTACACAGATTTATACACTCATTTACTTTTTGAACTTCTTGTACAATTATTTAAGAGTTTCAGAAGTTTCCGTGGATGTTTGTGCTTTTTTCCGAAACGTTTTAGCTGCAGCAAATAATCTTCATCATTGATTAATTTGTGAAACTGTCGAGTCCATAAATGTCCAAAAAAATAATCAGAGACGCCAGCTTTAGTCTAAAATGATGTCGTTTTTCTAAAATTAAAATTCAGTGTATAGATTATTATATAAAAAGGTGAAAAGCAGCAAATTTGGGCAAACAAATGTTTGACGTTTTAGCTCCATTACACAAAATATTAATTTTCTGTTGACTGACTGATCGATTAATTGACTAATCTTTGAGCTTTCAATATTTTTGTGTCTTAGTGCTGGCGATGGCTGCGGCTTGAGGCCGTGTGTCCGTCCCATGCTAGGGATTGCGATATCTGAAGAATGCCAGAGGGTAATAGTTTTGAGTTTGGCACAAACGTCCACTTGGACTCAGTGATGAACTGATAACAATTTGGTTGTCATAAGTCAAAGGTCACTTTTTATGGCTCATTCTTGTGAACACTATATGTCAAGAACAGTTTGAGTTTATCTCTAACACTTAGGCACAAATGTCTACTTGGACTCAATGATTAACTGATGGCAATTTAGTGGTCATAGGTCAAGGTCACTGTGACCTTGCATTCATCTCTTTCTCTTGAACTTGATATATCAAGAAGACCTCGAAGAAATCTCAAGTTTGGCGCAAACATCTACTTGGACACAACGATGAACTGATTAGTGAACTGATTAGATGTTGGTGGTCATAGGTCAAAAGTCAAGGTCACCGTGACTTTGTCTATCTCATTCTCATGAACACCATATCTCAACAACACCTTGAGGGAAGCTCCTGAACTTCGGTACAAATGCCCACTTGGACTCAACACTGAACTGATAAGCTTTTGTTGGTCAAGGGTCACTGTGACCTTGCATCCATCACATTCTCTTAAAGTAACATCTTGAGAACAATTTGAAGGAGTTTCTTCAACTTTTGCACAAATGTGTGTCTGTCTTTTTCACATTCTTGTGAAAGTGAGACCTCAAGAACAGCTTGAATGAATGTTTTTTAAAATTTGGCACAAATGTCCACTTTAAGTCACTGATGTTTTGATTAGAATGTGGTCGACAAAGGTCAAGGTCACTGTGATCTTGCATCTGTCTCATTCTCATGAACGCGATATCTCAAGAAGGCCTTGAAGGAGTTCCCTCAAATTTGGCACAAACGTCCACTTGGACTCTGATTTAGAATTTGACGTATTTAAAACTGTATGAATCGTTAAGGTGTTAGTGGGGGCGTTAGTTCCACCTCTGCTTTAGAACCCACCGTGACCCCAGTTTGGTTTAACCGCCTCACCGTGACTCACCCTGACGGTTGGTCACCTGGTGGAGCCGCTAACCGTGGCCTCCCTGCCAGTGGGTCATACTGGGAACCAGCAGAGGGGAACTGGTGGGCCCCCTGAAAACAGGAAGCAGCTGGATCAACATCCTGCCTGGCAGAGAGGGGAGGGTTTGCACCGGCACAGGCCGGCGTTTGTAAAAACCTTCAACAATGACCCCCTCTGTGTGTCGGCCGGCCAATCAGAGCGCTTCTTTCTGGATTCTTTCCAGACTGATAGCTATCACACACAGAACGGGCATCAGGGATAATTATAGTCCAGACCACCACGATCAGACAGAGGCTGAGCTGTAACACTCTGGTTCTGGTCTAAAGACAGACTTTTATTGTGAAAGAACACTTCCTGATTCCTTCTGCATCGTAGCAACATCTGGAGACAAACACAACAGCTGTTTATCCCTCAGTGTTTTCAGCTGGTGGAGGGCAGACAGTTTCACATGAAACAAACACGCATTAAAGAGTGTTCTTAATTGATTCATAACTTAAAGAAGGTATTTGTTAGATATTTTCACACAGTCAGATTCATGTGAGTCAGACGCTGAAGCTTTTGTCAGTGTGTGTCTTTGTGGTGCAGAGACAGTGTGAGCGTGACACAGATTGCTGCTGATGAATTAATAAAGAGGGACTGAAGGCTCTAAGTGGACGTGTCCCACTGGCCTATTTAACACAGGGGAGAGGTGTGGCACAGAGCGGCCCGGTTAATGCTGTCTGCTCATGATGATGATGATGATGATGATGATGATGATGATGATGTGTTAGTGGACTGGCTCACCACGACCTGTTTAAGTCTCCGACACACTGTGAGAGTGTATCAGTCTTATGAGTTTGGTGCAGCTACGCTGTGTGACATGGGTGTCTGCAGACTGTACGATGGCAGCGCCGACTGAATCACAGGCTGAGACGTACAGTAGCTTCCTTTACTGCGTGAGCAAGGAAGCTGCACGGGTTATTACCTCTCCGACTGTGAAGCACAACATGGAGGGTCACATTAATAACATTAATATAATTATTATTACCATCATGAGAATGTCCAAAAAATGTTGATAACATGTCAGAAAAATATAATTAAAATGTTACAAAAAATGTAATAAAATGTCCCAAAGATATTATTAAATTGTCCGAAAAATTTAAAAAAGTCAGAAAAAAATGTTAATAAAACGTCCAAAAAGTATTTGAAAACATATCTGAAAAAATGTTGATAAAATGTAAAAAAAAAAAAAAAAAATTAAAAATGAATAGAATGTCTAAAAAATAACAGGGAAAATGTCTCAAAAAATGTTATTAAGAAGTCAGAAAAACATGATTAAATACATGAAAAAATAATGATGTCCAAAAAATGTGAACGCAAAAATGCTAAAAATGTCTGAAAAAATGAAAGGAGAAAAAGGAGGGAGGGAAAAATGTTAATAAAATGTCCAAAAAATATTTTAAAAGATGTCTGAAAAAATGTTGATAAAATGTAAAAATAAAAATGGATAGAATGTCTTAAAAATATCGAAGAAAAAAAATGTTGATTAAATGTTATTAAGAAGTCAGAAAAAATGTTGAGAAATTGTCAAAAAAATATTTTAAAAGATGTCTGAAAAAAATGTTGATAAATAATCATAAAAACATGATTAAAATCATGTCCAAAAAAAAGTGAACGCAAAAATGCTAAAAATGTCAGAAAAAATGTTGTAACATGTTGGAAAAATAAAATTAAAATGTCCATAAAAATAAAAAATAAAGTCC